ATAGAGTATCCGTATGGATGACGGATACAGGACAACGAAACAAATGGAAAACCGCGAAACTGAAAACACATGTGAAGACGAAGCATCTAAAAAGTAGGACTGCAATGCAAGCTTTTTTCATATGCTTTCATGTAGGTGTTCATTTAAAATCTTATTTAGAGAAAATAACAGGCAAGGCTCACTTGTAGAGAGTTTCTCCCGTAATCGTCTAGGTGTTGTAACCTGAACAGATTGATTTCAACCAAAGTTATTTTCTCTTGACTATACATTTATAAACAACCCCCCTTTTTTCAGGTGACTGAATTACCTTTTGAATTGAATGTGGAGTTACAATATTTCTTTGCTTTGTTTTCCGAAGGTAGGAAAAGAAACAGGACTATCGAACAGAAAAAAATAGTCATTGTGTAAATTGTTCTCTTCTTTCCTGTTTGTAGCCCATTAAACCTACTTTTTGTCAATTAACTCTTTAATCAATTTTACGTAATGGCTTGCGTGGCGCAGTGTTCAGAGGTACCCTGCAACACACACGTGGAATCGATCCTCGCGCCTATGGCCCACCAAGCCTTCCATCCCTCCAGAGTCTACAAATTGGTGCCACACTTGTCTGGAAGGATAGCAGCACTGGCTCGACACATCGGTAAGCCACACCGCGAGTCATTGTAAAGGCCTGATATGCATTCAGTCACTTTCACACCATCCTTAATGAAGTCAAATGCAGGACGCATCGATTGATAAACTCCGAGAGCTTTATCCTTTTTTTATCCTTTGTCGCGTGAAGAAGTATCCAAGTGGATTCTGTTTGCTCTTGAGATCAGCACATAAGATAAGTTTTACTTTAGGCCCCAGATCAACATAGCTGGAGTGTTCGAATATATCCATTTTTTGAGGTTTAGTGGAGTATCAGAAGCAAGCCTGCGTCTCATGAACATCGTTTTGATAAGATTTATTCGAAAACCAGTCTTTGCATAAGCGTTGCCAAAGTGGACCAGCATTGCTCTGCCATGTTAATCCTTGGTGTTTTAAAAACGATGTCATCGGCACGGCAAATTTGGCATAATTGCCAACCATTCAAACATACATGTAGTCCATTTTTAGTGTTGGCATGCCGTTCGCAATAGGGAGTTCGGATTAACTTGTCAAACCTCTTTCGTTACACTGACGTTAATGTCGTCACGTCACGTAATAGCGACATTCTGCTTGTGAAATTCGTACGTGGTTTATTACGTGTAAAGAATCTTCACGAATAGTGAATAGCGATCCTCTTGCTATCCGGAGCTTTTGTTGCTATTTCTTTCTAAATTAAGTTAAAAGCCTTATTTAAGTTGACGAAAGTGAGAAAAGGCGGTCTCTTGTACACCCACGATGCTCCAATGAGTCTTCATCGCGTGGATGCGATCTACCGCACTGGATCATTTTGGAAACACTGCTTGCACAAATTATTGTCTTTCGTTTAAGATTCCATCAATAGTGATGAGGATGACTCGAGTGAAGAGCTTGTTGGCGACAGATTCGGTTTTAGTTACCGAAGTCTCGGAAGTCACCCTTTTTGTTCAATAACACGGTGTTGACGGGCCTTTATTGAAGTGGAACTTTAGCGAGTTCCGACAGATAGGATATGATGAGGTGAGCCAGTGTGTGAATGAGGCGTATCCAAAGTGTTTCCAGGTGTCATGATCTTGCACTCTGGACCAAGTGTTCTTCACCGAGGAAAGAATTCCAATTTGGATTTCTGAAAGAAAATCTAGTGGGCGACATATCTCTGCTCCTTTATTTCATATGAGGAAAGGAGGACGTGGTTATTGAACAGATCCAAGCAACAAACGTGGATGACTTTTTTCGACGCCTTTCTTGAAGCTGCAACTGCTCCTACTAAACATCGGAGTACATTCATCTGGGTCTTGTAATTGGCAAAATTCCAGTAGGCTCTGCGAATTCTTATCTCTGTCGCTGCGAGCGCGACCACCATTGCTGCTCTTCTCACCTTGAGGTCCTTTTTATTCACCCTTATGCAGTCATTTACAGGCTCAGAATGAGTTGGGGACTTCTTGCAACTCCTGCGATTCTACGTTCGTGTCTTAACTCAGCAGTTTTTGGAGACTGACTTCTCTTGGACACTTTCGAACACGCAGCCTTGATGGCGCTGACAAGAAAATGTAGAATAAGCCGATCATGTTGCTTGACGATGCTGTCAGCGAGACCTTGGCACTTCTCCAAGAGCCGAATCCTCATCTGAATAGATCCCAGTTTATGGTTTTTGCCTTTTATGAATTTAATGGCTTTTTTTTTCCTTTTCACGATAAATGAAATCTTGCATGATGGAACCGATTTTCTGATCCCGCATAGATTTCTTGGAAAATCAGCGGCACCGGTTAAGGAAAGTCATAGATTTACTGTAATGTGATCTTTGTTCTAACACGAGGTGGTTACCAGGCTTTTATTCGACCACCGTTCCCACGTCTTCGCCATCCCCAGAGTCGATGATCGGAGTCGTTGTCTACAACTGTTCGTAGTGTGATGTGATCTTTATGGCACTTTCCATTGGGAGAGTCACACGTCCAGCGTTGAGATTGAGGCTTCTGGAATTGCAAGTTACCTTGAATGGTCTTGGTTGTCATCATGAACTCGAACAGCCGCTCACCCTATTCGTTTTATTCCAATCCTGGAAACCTAAGTGGCGTTCTTCAGACACTTTTTCTGGATCTATTCTTTGCGTTGAAATCTTCAATGATTGCCTTAAAGGACATGTGGTCTTCTCTGTAGAACTTATTCACGTCCATATAGAGCGCTTCGATCTCCTCTTAATGTCGGTGCGCAATGAACGGAGATTGTCAAGTCCGGTATTAGTCCACATTTCTTCAACTGTAAGCGTTCAATTCTGGTTATTAGTTCTTCTAAAAATTCAATGTTTCTAGCCAAATGAAAAAGTACTTCAGCTTGTCTTTTAGCCTGTATCATCATGTAGTCAGTGGAAAACTCCCTTACAAGTAAATGTGAATCGTAGATGCAAATCGTCATCTTGGTTTTTTCAAATTTAAACAAATTGCAATGGCTTCGAGATTCTAATGGTTGTTTTCTAATCGCTTTAACTGACGATGCTCTTTCGGTGGCGTTTTCGACGTTAGTAGAATAAGGCATTTTGCTGTATTTGGCTTTTGATAACCACGCATATCTTGATGTGCATTCAATCTGAGAAGAGAACAAAGCAGTGGCTAACTTGCTAGACTCTTTCCTAATATAAGTAAAGCTTGTATGTTGTAGGAGACATTGTTCCATGTTCCAAATACTTTCCAGTCTTGATTGCAGGCCTTAGTCTGAAATGATTTGCGGAATTCACCTTGATTTAACCATGGCACACCCGTGCACACGTGCAAGACCACGTCTACATAGACGCAGAAGGTGTGTGCCAAATTGCACATATTAACAGTAAATCCGTCTCCTAGATCCACTTTTGTCTCAGGATAGCATGCGATACCATTCCTACCTGCCCCTTGGGTGCACTTCATGTCGCTCGCGACTAACGGGGTGCGTATCCTTCATTGATCCAGAACTATAGCCACTCTCGCTTAGGGCGGAAAATAACCGTATACAGCTGTCGTAATATAAACTTATTGTTGAATCAGAGTATTCGAATAGGAAAGTCTAACTCTTTCTATCTCAACCACTGTCACTATGCTAGGCTGATGGATGAACTATCTGTTACACATTGAAGTTTGACACTCGGAAACATTGCACAGTTATTATGAGGCCGCCTACTTTTGCTGGAGTTTGATGAAGCACATCAATTTTTGGTTTGAATATCGCGTTTTTCAAGACGTGAATATTATAACACATAGTTAACGCTACTATTTTTTTGATTATTCAAATCATAGGAATGCACTGAGGATATGAATCTACAATCGGTTTATTTTATCTTATATCTTTTCGTTCCGACATTTGGTATTGGTCTCAATTGGTATGTCTTGTGGAGGTTGCTTCGCATTGCCAGGTAAGAGTCATGCCACTAAGTTGCTCGAACATCTCGTTTCAGGAAAAAATGATCAGTCCTAATGTAGTGTAGCTTTGATAAAGCCGTCATATTAGTTTGTAAGAAAGCGCTTTTCCTAGGATTCTCAAAAAGAAATTCTGACAGTGGTTCCTTGTAAAGTTATAATGGAATTACAAAACATGGTTATCTCCAAGATTACAAGCAGAATTGACTCGACCGGCATTCTGCGACATTCATAAGGAAGATGAACTCCTCGGGCAGAAGACAAGACGACACACATTCGATGAGCTTTGTTGATGTTGGATGCGGGGGAACGAATCGAAAACGAGGAGTGCTGGGATCCGCACAGTAGATGTTCGACGGTTCATGTGAAACAAATTAATAGATATATATATGTAAATTTTTTATTCCGTTAAAGCATTAATGCGTCTAAATTGAGACCGTTAAGTGCTGCATGAATGAAAGAGTATCTTAGTCCGATTAATTCTACAGCAACCTATTACCTAATGGAGGCTTCTGATGTAGTTGGCTAAAAATATAAAATAATCAAAAATCCAATAGATGAAGACAACCGTAATTATTATTAAGGGAAAATGTTGCTAGTAAGCGTAGTGTTAAATTAAGATTTGATAGTTTTTACTGATTGATGTATGAAACAAGGTAAGGAAATTGCTGGGAAAGGGAGTAGTAGGCCACTTCACATAGATAATTGAACCCAAGTTTGCTGAAAAATGTTCATTAATCAACTCTATTATTTTTCAGAAAAAGTGCGAATCGATTCGAGACCACCTCTGCTCTGCCGCTTGCTGCCATGTCAGCTGGTGATTCAGTTACTTTACTTACAGAGCTAGTACAGACTTTATTTCACATTGTACCAAAAAGTGGACTGCCAACATGGATTCTTAGTGGAACATGCAAGGTAGTAACATGGTTTATTAATGAAGGAACTTTTTCACTTTTATATTAAATTCGAGCACTTTTTCCAAAACACCATCGTAATCAGATCGATCTATATCTAATGCATACGACTTCGGCATTTTCGGTGTGGTGCTGGTTAGTATTGTCTATTCTCAGATATATTGCAGTATTTCATCCTATTAAATACAGAACTATTTGGAGACAGCCGAGGAATGCACTAAAGCAAGTCTTTGTTTTTCTAGCTTTTTATCCAAATAAAAGGTGCGACTAGATTATTACTTCACACAATTCCAGTCCATATTATAAAGAATGCTTTATTTCTTCCATTTCTAGAATTGAATGTCAAGATAATAGTTTTAAAACACAAAGGGAAAGAACTTAAGCGCTATCAAATCTATGAATTTATTCAAAAAAATCCATTTTCAGAGCACTCGGTTGTTGTTGCCTTGTTTTCGAATCCTGGATTCTGGTTGTTGTCGTGTATAGTGAAGATGGGCGCATATGTACAGAGCAAGCGAGCATATCTCAACACAACCTTGAGGTAGTGTGACAAGAACAGAATCAGTTTTATTGAGCAGAGTTGGCATTCAACTCAAACGCTATTCTAAATCTTTACCAAGTAGTTTCTCTAGTTTTATAGCTATTTATCTCTGAACGTTTTCCTCTTGTACAAGCGTTTGAAATCTTATTTACTTATTTGCTTTGAGCGATGTGGTGCAATCTATGATCGGTTTTTAAAAAAAATCTTAAACACCACCCGTAGAATATTTTCTTCGCCAATGCATTCCGAAATATAAGCAACGAACACAATATCGTGCAATACTACGCAGTTTATATGATATCTCCAAAAATTACCTTCGAAATCCATAGGGGCACACATTTAAGCGCAACATAAACTGCGCAGTCATGCTGTTTAATGGAAACTTGACATACGACGGTGAAGAAAAATGGAGCGAATCTAAGAAGAACACTTGAGTCCACTTGAAAATCCGCCACATTTTTAAGTCTTCAGCACAGCCACAATCAGCGACTATCATGCGACTCAGCGCTATAGAAGCTTAGGGCTGGCCAGACAGGAGCAGATAATAGTTGAAAAGTGTGATGTGCAGAGGAGCATTTCGCAGAGGAAGCCACTTTGAATCCAGGAAATATTAGAGTGCGTTCAGATAGTTTAACATCGTTCTAAAAAGCATTCTCGTATAAAAATAAAACTTATACGCGTTTCGAATGTATTCGATGTCAGCATCGACAAGCTTCTTCACTTAGGCTGAGCGAACAGATGAAAAAATGGGTGTTATTGGAGATTTCGTCGAAGTCACATGAACAAAAGGAATGTCTTTCCAATGTTCGTCCAGTTTCGGAGGCGAATACGTCTGCCTTTCAAAATGTAGCGGCTGGCGTTTTGAGAGATATATGGTGCTCTTTCGATATCCATTTATGATGTCGCCCAGAAACGGTTTCTTGTGAAGAATAAGGAAAAGAGAAGGAGCTGGCTTAAATGAGTTACCTTACTGTAAAACATCGTTTTAATTTGAACAGGCTAGGATTCCTTAATTGAAAGAATAAAGGTTAAAGCTCTTGGCGTTGATCAAACCCTGAGGGATGCGACATGACTTCATTAAGTATCGTTGGAGGTTATTGAATGCATATTTGGCCTTTACAACGACTCGCGGTGGCCTACCAATGCATCGAGCCAGTGCTGCCATTCTTCCAGGCAAATCTGGTATCAATTTGCCGATCCCGGAAAGGTGGAAGGCTTGGTGGGCAATGGGCGCTGGGATCGATTAAACGTGTGCGTCGCAGTGGCTCCTCCGACCACTGCGCCACACGCACCATTCCTCAATTAGTTCAGTTAAAAACAAATCAAAACATGAGGTGTCGCAGAATTCATAGTTTTGCTGAGCCACCTAAAAAAAACAAAAGTTGGCGTTCATTTTTAAGATCATTAAATCAGTTTTGCTGCATAGCTCAAGAATGCCATAAACGATAAAAGCTTAAGGCCGTCAACGCTGATTAATTCCTAAGTGATGGACCATGTATTCGACTTCATCAAGCATCGTTAGAGAGCGTGTATGGATAATGAAATGACTTGCAATAGCCCTCCGATATATTTAGCCACTGCTGCCATCCTCCCAGACAAGTCTGCTAGCAATTCGCTCGCTCCATACGTGGAGGGACCCGAGCTCGGGATCGTAGAAAGACCCACGTGTGGATTGCAGAGCATTCCTAGCCACAGCGCTACACGCTCTCCAAAGAATACGATGACATGATGGTAACCATGTACAAGGAGTGAGACACAGCATGACTTTTTTTATCTATATACGACGAATTAAAAATCGTAAAATTATAAACTTGGCATTTTTTAAAATGTTAATAATTTTTTTTGGAAAAACATCTAATTTTTTTAAACTAAGACTTGAACATGAGCCTGATCTGCTAATTCCGTCTTTTAGGCAGCACATCTCATGGATATTGTGTTATTTTACGCGATTCCGTTCTTAATAAGAATTTTCTTCGATGGAATTGTACTTTTTCAATGCTATGGTCCTTTTATAGTAGTTGATACTCCAGTCTTTAAAAGGCCGTGCACTGGCAGTGTTTCCAGTCAGAACCGCAGGTGATAGTAAATAACCTACTAAACCCATAAAAAACGCGCGTAATTCAGAAGGAATGGTCGATATCTTTCTTTAAAATGCATTGTTCGGCTACTCATCAAAACCATAACAACTAACGTTTTTCTTTGATATTAGAGAATAAGTCCACTTCAAAAGCATGACTTTGTTGGATTATTGTAACAAAGGCATTTTTTTCACGTTTCCACTTGACGCTTTTGTTATAGTGTAGTAATGAATCACCAACACACATTATTTCTCAGATTATCGTGGTTTACATCCGGTTTGGGTCTCAGCATCTCCGTTTGTTTGGTTGCCTTGAAACCATCATCAATGGGGTTGGTCATGTTCGTCTATGTCTTCGGCTACGGCTCGAGAATGTGAAAGTTGATTCCAGTTGTGTGTATAGCTGCTTCTTCTCGCGTAACGAACACACTGATCCGTGTTTTTGTGTTCTCTCACGACTTCATTCCTATTCTTTAGGGATCCACTCCATTACTCCTTTCGTCCACCTGTACTTTCTGCACGTGACCTGTACACCTATGTTTACATTTTCAGACGTATTCTGCTAGCCTTGAAGACATTCTTTGCTAATCTGAACCGCGAAGAGAGGTTCTTGACTGAGTGTCCGGGTTCGTCTTAAGAAGAGATCGCTTAAGTGCTCAGGGCATAGTTTGTTCGGCATGGCTGAAGTACCAGCCCATGTTCTTGCTGCATAGCATAGAGCTGTAAGAATATCTGCGCCGAATAAGTGAAACGCGTAGAACAAGGCCAGTTAGCCAATCAACCTTTGCTAGATGCGCGATCATGGCCTATGCTGCTCGTTGTATCCAAGCTGCTATTCCTCTCAAGTCGTCATCCATACTCCCTAAAGGCAGCAAGAATGAGTAGGATGTTGCCTAGTGGTGATCCATTTAGGATTATCTGCTTTCTTTCGCATCAGAGGTTTTTTTTAGTAAAGTGGATGGTAACTACTTACTGTTCAATTTTTTCACACTTCGTTGGGCTCAGTAGACGTTGACCTGTTTCTGCTGCAGTTTTCGAAATTAGTTGAATATCGTTGGCAAAAGAAAAGTTGGAGAGGAACTTGCCCATTGGCACGTCGATGATGATCTTCTCTGTACTATCGAAAGCACTGTATCATCCATAAAACTAAATCTTTCGCAAAATCCAGTTTTTCTGTAGGTTGGGCTGCTTCCAAGTGCTCAAAGATGAGCATTCAGATTGTGTTTATGAAAGGCTTATAGGCACACTGAACAAGTTTATCCGATGGAAACTGCAAAGGTTATCCTTGCTGTTTTCTTTTTCGTAAAATGACCGTGCTTCAATAACTGAGTATCCGTATCGTTTTCATAAATGATGGCATGTATTTTGTAAGAACAGCATGATTATCTGATCCAGGATTTGCGACAGGTTTCAAACTTCTAAACGTAGAGCGAATATAAAAACCAGTTGGCGTTGTGCTTACAGAGAGATGGTACGTCCTGCTGTTGGCGATGTGGATCGCAAGAGATGTGGAGTCTTTCTGTTATCTTCCCCATCTCACTGCGGAAAGGTGTAGCTCGACCGATTCCACTGAGTTGAATAGTAAATTGAATATTGTATTTATGATCTCCAAAATTCATAAGGTGCCACTATCTAAGCACACTGTTGCTGTGTAAGACCCCTAGCTATATTTGTAGAGTGTTTAAATTTCAAACCAAATGGCCGACATAGAAAACCCGTCCAAGGTCATTGTCCAAAAAAAATCACCAGTCGTTGCAGGAAGCAGTCTCCATGGAGTGTCGTTCAATCGTTGCTCTTTAGATCGAACGCTACCTTATTTTCTTACACATGTTGAATGTTGGCAGAGTGTAGTTTGCTCTAGAATCTCGATATAACTGTCCCAAGGCGTAATGAGATTTCATCGAACACTTAAGCAAAAAACATTTTAAAGAGATAAGCCGTGACAGTATAAGTGATCCACGTAGGAAAGAAGAAATGCAAGAGGAACATACGCTTACAGATCTAAGTATTATTGTGCACACATTAACTGACGGGTAGCAATTTTTATTCGGTTTTTTTGCAGGAATTCTTCTTCACCAGAATATGAGACGCCAATGAATCCACTACAAAGCACAGTGTCATATCAGCAAACTCTGTCGATCTCAACATCAACCGTTGATGTTAGTCATCTAAATAATTTGTTGGTCCTACCAAGTCTTCTTCATGACCACAAGTTTACTTTGGAAACTTATCTCAAGCCTATGAAAACTTTTTAGTAAAGTCGTCAGATGCTAATCTATCAAAGATAGCAGCACTACGCGTCCTGCCCAAACGTTACTGTTGCCCTGCAATGCACATAGTCATTGGTTCGATTGCGCAACTTATGCTGTCTAAGTGCACTCCATTTCTCCGGGGTTCGAAAACTTCTAGCGGACTTGTCTGGAAAAATACAAACATTAACTTAGTACAGCGGTAGGTCATCGCAAAACACTCTATGGGCGAATCCAATCATAAGCATTCAACCTCTCCACGATGCTATGAGTGGAGTCGCATAGAAAACGCGTCCCTCAAGAACTGATTGACACCAGACGCTTTGTCTCTTTATAGTTTATCTGTAATATTAATGTTATTTCTTAATTAATAGCATAGGCATATTTACCGTGACGTCTCTCTACTATTACTATTAATTGAGTACTGAGTTATAGGGTTGCGTAAGTTTTTATTACTTCTAGCTGTTGCTTTATGGGCTACAGCTTTTATAAAATGAGGTGGACTGGTCAATATCTGTATTTCCTATTCCAGCATTATGCAAAAAAGCGGCGACTTTATTTGAAGAAGAAATCTGCCATGATAAGGCGGTCAATTACCATATCAGTAGTGAATTTGATACTGAATTTACCATTTCAAATCTTTCGAACGTGGCAAACTGTGGACTACGATAGCCTGGACCAAAGTATTCTTTCCACTATAGAACGTGGGTTTTTTACAATAAGAAAGTGAAGACTAATAAAACTAAGTAGTAGGAGTTGAAATAGCAATTCAATTAAGTTTTACTGTAGCACTTTCAGCTATTTGTCAGATTCTGTACTTCTCGCAGTTCATCTGTAACGCTTTCTATCTAAGCACGAGTATTTACGAGACAAGTTGCACGCCTCGCACTATTCTACTAAAAAACGGTCGACAGAGCTTAAAATGCGTATTCACTGACGATTATTCGTAATCAACTGGATCTGTAGGTGCCGTCGTGTCCATTCATGAATTACTTATTTTATGGAGCATTACTAATAATATTTGTGTAAAAAACGACTTCATACTGATTTCATACCAGATAACTGTAGTTCGTTTCTTTTAGTGATAAGAATGATAATGGGTTTCTTATGATTTTTGGATTGTACAGTATTAATTCTGATTGCTTATTTCTATGGAGTTTTAATTTAAAGTAACTAAAAAATAAAGGTTGCTTTGTGGCTTCTGTGAATATTATTATTGAGTCGAAAAATTACTAGTACTGAAGTTCAGTTACCCGGTCGACTACGATGAAATGACGCAGTTGTTTCTAATGTGTTCGGATATTGTCTAGTTCTTTATTAACATGATATTATGTTAGTCACAAAAAAGTTAAAATGCCGTCAAAGTCGTAGATGATTTTCCTCACTGACTTTTTGGAAGTAGGCACTCTTTCACATATTCGCAAGAGTCTGATCATTTTGATACGGCAATTGGCGAAACTTTTGTTTGACTGTGTCGTACTCTTCTCTCTCTCTATAGCTCGGGCATTCACAGCTTTTGTTGTTCCTTTAAGATCTCTTGCTTACTCTCCACAAAGTCTTTTTTTCGGGGTGGTTTAGGTAGTATTCATGCTGGTTTTAAGACACCGATTTAAAATTATGCTCTAGAAGGCCATCTCATCCACAGTTGAAAAGGGACTCCCGGAATCGTGAGTTATTCGTCATGGTCCGTTTTTAATGTTCTATTCGAATCCGTCGCTTCCAATGTGACGTTCTTCGGTCGTTCTCCTGGGTCCATTATTAGTGTTGTAGTCGCTAATAATTACTTAATAAAGAGAAGGTCTTCTCTCTAGAATTTCTCGAAGTCGATTAAGTTCATATAGAAAGATTGTTCTATTGTTATATGTTTAGGGAAATAGTTCACTAACAGTCTTACATTGCAGCTTATATTACCAAGTACTGAAACCAGATAATAGTGTGCGTGTGTTTTAAACACAGAACGTTATCATAGTCCTTTCATACTTAAGCAGCCTAGAATGGCTCCTAAATTTTAGCAGCATCTCGGTATTCGTTGCTTAGGGGAAGTCCATTTATTTCACTGCTTTTCACCTAAAGTCTGGATATACTCACGGATGACTTGCCTTACTCTGCTAGAATAGACTTAGGGCTCACATGTTCGAGGCAACTTCTAACCAAATGCCCAGCCACCTGATTGAAGGCTTTTGCCCGAATCGACTTATAGAAAATAGTCGACATAAACGCGAGCACGCACTCATGCATGAACTTGTCTACTCAAACGTAAAAGGTAGGTATAAAATAGGTAGGACAAAGAAAGAAATCTATTCCCTGAATTGACCTGTATTTCAGGAAAGACCAAGGTCTTTGGACCTCGTACAACATGCCACCAAGTAACACGCTTCGCTACTTTTCAGGCAGGCGTCGCAAAATAAGAGAGATCTGTGCATTTAAAGTATTCGGTTAAAAACTATTGCAGTTTCAACAATTGTACAAGACTAAGCCTAAAATCACCAACTTTGGGCCGCTGTAGCCGAAATAATTGCTTCAATCTCCATGTATCAACTTAAAAATGAGGCCTCCGTTTAAAATATAGCGTTCATGATAAAAACACAAGATCTTGTTATTGTTAAAACTAATATCAACAAAGTTCAGTTATTGCAAAATGTTTAATTCGTCGTTGCTGGAATATAATTTTACATAATAAAACAAAATTTATATATAATATAATAAAATGTTTTATAATATAGCAATTATGCAGTATCAAAAGGGCTTAGTTGTTGCAAAATGTTTACAACAGTCAATATGAGACTTGGATAGGATGATGGCATGAATGCTCCATGCACCTGACTTCATTAAGCATCGTTTGGATGTGATTGAATGTATATGTGGCTATTACAACGACTCGCGGTGGCTTAACAATATATCGAGCCAGAGCTCTATCCTCCTAGACAAGTCTGGTATCAATTTGCCGTCTCCGGAGCGACGAAAAGCCTGATGAGCTTGGAGCACGGGGATCGATCCCATGTGTATTACAGGGCACCTCCGACTACCGTGCCACATATGCCCATAATCATATGGAGCCAAACTGAACATACAACAACAAAAACCCGCAGGTATGAAAGTGGGTTTCATCTCCTTTACGTGTACGGGGGTTAATCGTTATCGAGCCAAGAGCCCGTTCTAGTCACAGAAATTGCGTCCGTCTTGTAAAAATAGGAGTTCGCACTGTCTCAGAATTTCAAAGAGACTGATACATGATTAGCATTTGAGATGCGAAACAGAGGACGACACTACAGATCATCAACTTGCAGCCGATCATAAACAGTGATCCGACCAGTTATATTAATTGCGATTACAAGATAAAAAAACAAAGTAGTGCTGGAATTACTTTTCTTAGGCTTGAGGTTAAAAACAGTCTTAGGTTTGAGCTTTCCCTATGCAAGTTTCTGAAACAAATATTATGAAACACTGCTTAAACGCATATAGTTAAACGCATGGGTGAACAGAATCAGAGCGTGGAGCTCATCAACGACTTCTCCTATGTTGACACATAAACAAAAAACATAATTGTTTTGAGATGGAAGGCAATTTAATAACAACAGCATTTATTCTGATACTATTTTTACCCCGTATGAAATGCTGAGATATTTGCAAAACTCCGGACCACAGGTGTATGCAGTGGAGAACGAACACGCGCTGTTGTCCTTACCGGGGAGCAGCGCACTTCACCACTACACCATCCGGGTCGCACCACACCACTACACCATTAACTGACCCGGATGGTGTAGTGGTGAAGTGCGCTGCTCCCCGGTAAGGACAACAGCGCGTGTTC